AAATCTCGGAATAACCTTGGAAATGGCCGAAAAATGACAACATACAAGCTCAAATGAATATCTAAGTGAACAGAAGCCAAAGTATAAGCTTTATACCTCTATCAAGACCGAAATGAGTCCTTAGCTCTGGATGTTCAACCTTCCTTCTGCAACTCCAAGCCTTCGCTTCCTTCTTCTAGCTTTAAATCACAAAAATGGCAATGAAATAGCTCAAGATCACTCAAGGTTGATTAGGGTTTCGAGAGTAGGGTATGGATGTGATAGAGGCTGGGATGGAGGCCAAATATGATGCTTAAATAGGGTGCAAGCCCTAAAGATTAGCGTTTCATCCAGATTGTCCTACTCGTCGAGTCAGGACCTCGACTCGTCGAGTAGCTCACTTAAAACCCGCGCATATTATGTCTTCTACTCGACGAGTTAGGGCCACCAACTCGTCGAGTAGCCCTTCCAAAATGAATAAATAATAAAGTTAAATGCATACCAGGAACCAGGCGTTAAATTTTTTTTTCAATAATCATGTGTATGTTTGTACATCTACTATAAATAAAACAAACGTGTGGAAAATTTTGATTCGTTGGATCTTTGACCCTTTTATTTAATACTTACAACTTTTTCCTATATAAATTACAAGTAATTGTAATTAAAATTAATTAAAAACGCATAAATAAAAAATTTTGAATTTAGTTTTTTTATTTTTTATTTTTTTAAACTGTAATATCTACTTTTGTGAGTCACATATAATTGTTTAAAGTACAACGCTATAATTATAAAAAAAACAATGTGGATTGTAAAAAAACAATGCTAACTGTGTATACTAAAGTCTAAACCCGAAATTATGTTTCAGTAACATCATGTCTATTGATAAAAGCTGGAATGGTAATCCACATCGAAACCATCTCGAGTTCCAAGCTGGACTCAAAGCTTTTATCGAGAAGTCTAAGTCACACCTTGATAGTAATGGTAAAATCAGATGTGCGTGTCAAAAATGTGATAAATGGTTTCAGTAAGTCGTACAAAACTTTATTCCTAGTTTAAATAGAAATCTTTATTCCTATGTAAATGTTTATTTCTATGTAATATGTATTTGTCATAAAAATTGCATCTGTATATCTTATAATTTTTCAGGAAATGATGTCAATATGGTTTTGTTTGTGTATACCATGGCTGCTATCATGGGTCGTGGACACGGGGTGATGGAGCTGAAGACTCACCTTTCCCAAGTGGTAGAGGTTCTAGTCATCATGAGCAGGGCTGTAAGTTTTATTATGAATTTCTATTATAAATTAAATATCGTTTCTAATAATTTTTAGTTATATTTGTAGTTGAGCATTGTGTACGTAGGAAAGTCTGAGGCAAAGGCAAAAATATAAAGCTTGAAAGAGCGCTCTTACAGAATAAGGGCAAACCGATTACCATGGAATATGATAGGGATATAACATATGATCTCGTAGGAGAGCCCAAAGAGATGTTTGCACAAGAAGTTGGAAAAACAACGTGGCATATGGTCCCTTTTGATAAATGGACTTGGAACAACAATATGCAAATATTTAATTATAATTTTATCATATAATTAAGTGTTTATTTATACTTTATTGTTACTCACTTTTGGGAAATACATAATCGGTTAGGGGAAGAGCTCTTAGAACAAACCCATTAGGAAAGCGACGTGGCCATGTCAGAGGAATCGGCCGTAAACCTTCTGCTCTCCCGCGGATTTCACAGCCATCGCAACCACCACCACAACCATCACAACCATCATAGGTAAAACAATATTATTTAATTTCAATAAATGCATGTTGATTTGTTAATTTTTGTTGGTAATTTCAATAAATGCAATGTACTTTGGTTTTTTGTCTTAGTTTAAAAATAATGATGTACTTTGGGATCATAAAATGCATGTTCATTTGGTAATTTTGGGTTTGTGGTGATTATTTGCTAAAAGCTTTGGTATGTGAGTTTTTGTCCCAAGTGCAAGAAATAGCAATGTACTTTGGTTTTTGTCTTAGTTTAAAAATAGCAATGTTGTTTGACATCATAAAATGCATGTGGATTTGGTCATTTTGGTTTTGTAGTGATTATTTGCTAAAACGTTTGGTATTTGAGTTTTTGTCCCAAATGCAAGAAATAGCAATGTACTTTGGTTTTTTGTCTTAGTTTAAAAATGGCAATGTTTGATAATTTAACTTATAAGTTTATATATGTTGTTATTTATTATATAGTTGGAAAATCTTCGGACAATGCTCAACGACCCGACATATAGGGAGGAGCTTTATTCGTTTTTTCAATCACAAAATAATCAAGGAGGACACGATGGGAACGAAGATGATGGTATGTAGGGATGAATTTTATTTGTATGTTACACTTGTTGTCACCCTTTGCTACTTGTTAGAATTATAAAACTTACTTTGCTACTTGTTAGAATTGCAAAACTTTTGATTGTTTTATTTTGGTATGAAATTAATTATAACAATATTTGGTATTTAATTGGATGTTGTTATGTAATGTTTGGTATGGAATTAATTATAACAGTATTTGGAATTAATTATACCCAAAATCGCTGATTAAAAAAATGAAAATTTTTTATTACCGGCGGCACTATTACCGGCGACATGTGCATTAGCGGCGATTATATCTTTACCGACAACACAAAGTATTACCGGCGACATGTGAATTAGCGGCGAAAATTCTATTTAGTGGCGACAATTTGATCAATGGCGACAGAGTAGTAGCGACGACTCTTTACCGGCGACGTGTCGCCGCTAATTGCTTTTTTTCTTGTAGTGGCAGTTTGCTTTTGGTTGACACAAGTCGGTTTCGAGAAACAGAATCTTGAATGTTTGAGATTGACTATATTCATGTATCACGTTCATATATATATATATATATATATATATATATATATATATATATATATATATATATATATATATATATATATATATATATATTTGAAGAAACAAATGATTATTTGATCACTTATCTAAGGTATATATCACGACTTTATGTTGTGAGTATGGCAAGTACATTTGAATGTATACGCTCTACTTATTACTAGTGAATATTAGACCAAATAGTGTTGGTAACTTGTGTAAGTGGGAGTGATGGAGAATGGTTCCCATAGTCCCAACACAGTTAGAAGAAATTGGTAATATTACTATTAATAGTAGGGTCCTTTTGGGTTACACACAAGGACATAGATAAGAAACAAATGACATGGGAAAATATAGGGACTTGATTTGTTAATTAATTAATATGATTCAATTAATTAAATGAAATGTAGAACTTCTGGAATGTTCTGGAGGATAATTAAGCAGTTAGATAATTATCATTTATATGGATAATTATTAGTTTACTAGATAATTATCTATTAGGTTTATCTATCCTTCCCTAAAAATATAAGGCTCCTAGGGAGGAATTATGATTATGAGTTTTACTCAAAACCCTAGGAAAAATTCGATCATACCTCTTCATTCCTGAAACCCTCAAAATCATGACACCATATTGTGGTATCTTCATTACCACGAAGTGGTACCTACTGTTCCAACATATCTGGATTTTGGAGCCTTCGTTCATGGTGTTCGTTGCATGGGTTGTTGTCGGATGTTGTTGATCTGAGTTCCTTGGGTGCGACTACGAAAGCGGAGTGATATGTTGGACTCTTAATCTCTCATCAATCAATCAAAGATGTACAAGGGTTTCTAAGATCTACAAGTGCTGCAATTGATAGGTTGTGCATAAATTCGATTTTTGGGCCTATTAAGGATTAAAATTGTTTCTTCGTTGTCCTTTTATACAGATTACACCTAAGAAATCACATAGAAAACTTGTTCAAATCTCTTAAACACTTTTAATGACATCAATAACAAGCTTCCTAAGAGCAATCTCTCCTTTCTAGTTAAATTCTATAAATCACCATTAAAGCCCTACTAGCTTGAAAATAGAGGAGATGATTACCTTAGGGGCTTTTGATGTTAAACCCTTTCCTCTAGCACTTTTTCGTGCCACTTGATCATCCTCTTTCCTTAGAATCTTTGGAGCTCCTTTCTATAACAAATAGGGAGTGTTTTGGTGAGAAGGGAGGTTTATCAAGTATTTAATCTGTTTCGACATTGTGTTGTAATGGAAGGCCTCACCACGTCATGGTGGCCATTTCACTTTGAGGTAAATGGTAACGTACATATGTTGCCGCACCGTAGAAAATTATTCACCACGCAGTGGAGGCCAGCAAACTACATTGTTGATTTCATTCCAACTTTGGGGTCAACTTTTATCCTATCTTCTAATACGCATAACTTCTTCGTTTCTAACACGTTTTCCATGATCTTTATATAAAAAAGTGTTCATATGCTCTACAAATCTGGTAATTCATTTCTTCCTGACTTAACACGGGTCTTAATCTGTTAAGTCATAAAGTTGACCCTAAAACATAAAATTTATCATTTTACCCTTTTTGGCCGAAATGCATCTTCTTATGCATTCTCTCTTCAACTTACTCATTTAACCTCATCTTAGTGACATAAACTCATCTTGGTCATTTTCATGAACTCAAAACTTCATAAACTTACTAAATTCTCATTAATGGCCATTTTCCCTTTTGATCAATATTTGACTAAAAGTCAAATCTCTCTAAATTTCATTTTCTTACAATTAATTTTTTTTTGTATTTAGTTTTTTTCTTGTGTTTTTGAAGTTTTTATTATGCTCATATTTAGATATTTTTTCATTTGTATTGTTTAGGTTTGTTTTTTTTTTCTATTTGTATTAAACATCCTGTTTCCAATCTCCAAGATTGTGTTTTCTCTCAATATATTAAACTTTGTTCATAAAATAGATAATGATATTAGTTTATAATGCTAAAAAGAATATGGCTTTGAGCTCTTATTACTTATATAAATTGTATATTATTTTAAAATTCTATTGCATATTTTGACAAATCGATACATTCCTTAAACACCATAAACTATTCTCTATTGATAATGGAGATATTGTCAATGATTGTATCAAGGTTTGAATGCAGTAAATGCTACAACAGAGTTGTGTCCACCAAAACCCATTGAATTTGAAATAGCTGCATATCCAAAACATTGGTTTAGTGAAATTAAAAAATCATGGAATCCAAACGCAAGGTAAAAAAAAAGCTCACCAACATTAATCTCATGTTGTTGCTTTTGAGTTGCAACAGTGTCAAACTCCACCCTTGGTTCTAGGTTCTACATTTGCAACCAAAACATGAGAATTTAAGAATAAAAAAGCAATGTAAAACGATTGGAATATTGGTATCACATACGAATTGATTGATGGTAGGATGTAACCATCCTGTTTGAATAGCTTTAATTGTAGCAATGGCTTCTAGACTTCCAGTTGCGCCCATGCAATGACCTATCATTGACTGAAAAACATATAAGAAGATAATTTCAATATGGATTTCATATTATAGAGATAATTTAGACGATCATTGTGTTTACCTTGGTGGCATTGATTTTCGTCCATGAAGTGTTCTTGAATACGTTCATAAGCGATTTTAATTCAATGGGATCACCAACCACGGATGAAGTGGCATGTGCATTAACGTAGTTTACCTACAAAAAATATTTAGTTTCTTGAGATATTCGAACATCACCAATGTTAGACCTCATATTGAGCTTCACAACACTACCATGGGTTTTTGTAGCATGCCAAATCATATATAGACCTTTAAGTTTCATAAACTTATCATCATTATCCAGAAATATTTTCAGAAATTGTAAATTGGTGTCGCATGCTTATTTTTTAACCTATATTTCTTATATTTCAAATAAAATACCAAGAACAAGTTAAACATTTTTATTCTATACATAAACTAGATTTATAACAATATTTTTATATCGACTATCCTTAAACCTTTTAAATATTTACAATCGAGTCTTTCATCTTCTTCTTGACTAAATTTCTCTACAAGCAGATTATACCATCTTAATGTTTATTAGTAAGTCATTAGGCAGTTTTAAAGAAGATTAGAATGATGATGTGTGTGACATGCTAGTTATGAACTGATCAATGAACGGTGTTGTAATGTTGGAGACAATGACATAGAATATTTAGTGAACAAAATTCATATAAATCGTTGGAATGAAATATAAATCAAAATTAGGTTAGGAATATAATTTGAAAGTAATTTTAATTGAAAGATGCACTAAAACTATGGGCTATCTCCTACATATATTGCAACTTTGCAGGATTAAAACCCTGTGTGTGTGTGTGTGTGTGAAGTTTTGTACATAGGAAAAATGTTTTTTATTGTTTCAAAATGCTCTTGTTGTAGCTTTGCAAAGCTTCAAACTCTGATACAACCACATATAGTACATATGTTGTCCATCATTTTCAACGTATATACACAGGTAGTAAGTGGTAAAAGGAATGATTTACATGCTCATATGCCTTTTCAGTTTTTCAACATATAGAGGATTATCTTCTCTCCATTGTCAATTACATGTACACTGCTATAACGTATAAACAATAATATAATGTTGGATTTGTACCACTTCCCCATGTTACTTATTCATTGGCTTTAAATTTGACTATGAAATGAGACATTTCAAAACATTTAGCTCATTGTTGTTAGAGGCATTCAAACCAAAATCACAACGAGATGGGCACTTGTAATCTTTTTAAAGCTTGTAGAAGTGGACTATGCCACCATCCGATTCATAATATAATAAATTGTTCAAATTCTCAATCAAGATTTAGTGTGAGTAAGCTATGTTTTTGTTTTATTGTTTTGGAATTTCATTTTTTGTTAATCTTGTAATAATCTAATGTGAATTATGTGTTTATCCTTTTATGTAATTATAATAATTAATATTCAATACTAGCATCGATTTGAAGGTATAAATTTTATATATATATATATATATATATATATATATATATATATATATATATATGTATAAGCTATTGTCGATACTAGCAACTAGACTTTCAGGTACGAAATCAACGGCAAATTAAATCCCTACCTAAATCAACGAAAGATTAGCGATGTAAAGTATATTAAGTGACAAATAATAAAACATAGCTTTTAGAAAGGGTATAGCAATGGTAGTAATACCTCTATTATTTCTTCTTGAAAATATACGCTTAGTCGGTTGCTATTGTAATTTCATGTTTGCCATTTTCGTTCCCCCGATGCATCCCTCCCAAGTCTCAATAGCTATATTCTTAACCTAATTTCAATTGGCACCCAGCCCAAACATTAACTATGGCCTCCCCAACCCCATCATCATCGATTCCAGGTGCCCCAACCCCCGTTATTATCGATTCTGACTACCTCTACAACCATTTTGTCGACTTCAACCTATTCACACACACATATTCACCCTTTCTTTATCTGGTTTTCTTTCTTTTGTTGATATGTGGTTTCCTCTCTTTCGATTTGTATATTTTAATCAGACATTATTCTAGCTTTTCAATAATTTCTAAGGGAGTGGGATTCTTGCTCTCTAGTTATAAGAAAAGTATGGATCCTACAAGTTGAATGATGGAACTGGTATGTTTTTTGTTACTTTAAGGAGTGTTTTGTTGTAATTGTTTGATATTAAGTTTTTTTTGTCAAAGATTTGGAACTGCTCTCGATATGTGATCTTTTTTGTTTCTTCATGTTTTTTAGGTCTATAGGTAACGACAATTACCTTTGTGTGAACATAGAGTGAGAGAGAAGGAGATGTCTAGGTTACCAAAAGACGAGTACATTTGTGTGTTCAAGGTCGCGTTGGTCTGAAATTCATGGTTAGACAACTCCAATGCTCTATCTCGATTGAAAGTGATTAAGTCGTCTAGGTGACTTGTTTTTCATTAATGTGGGCTAGAACGACATCATTACTTAATAAGTTCCATAAGCTCTATGCCCTCATAAGCACATATCTCTTATTTGTAATTATGATTTTGGTCTTCTTCACTATAAGTAGGATTCTTTCTTTCTTCATCCAGTATGAATTTCTGTTTTCTCATAATCATAAACCCCTCCCCCCAACTACATCTTGTAATCACTAATCAATGAAAAGTGGCATTTTATGAATTTATGTTTTCTCAAAATGTCACTCTTCCCATTAGTTCAATTTCATTTATTATCTTATAGAAGAGAGAGGAATTGTTTCATTATTTTAAACAACCACCACCTAGTTAGGTAATTTGAGTGAATTTGAATGCTTTTATTCAAAAGCAAGATGGTCAATGATATGAAACTGAGATTCTTCTTCCTTTTCACAACCTTGGTGAAGCTAAAGAAGAACTTGACATATGATGGGTATACCCATTGTAATGTTGAAAAAAAAACAAAATCGTTGAAAGCAACTTTTACATTGCTTGGATTTACTAAACAACAATAGTTTTTTATAATACTAGAAGACTCAACTCAAGATAGAAATTTATGGAATATATGAGTTTATACATAGTTTAAGTGTTTGATATTTAAATAAGTAGTAGGACTATAAACCAACCGAACAAACACGAACAAGGGCTTATTTATGTTCGTTTGTTTAAGTTAGTGGAATAAATGAACGAACACAAACTGATAAACGAATGATTTTTCTTGTTCATATTCGTTCGTTTAACAAATTACGTTGTTCATGTTCGTTCGTTTGTGTTCATGAACATGCTAAACGAACATAAACGAACGAACATATAAATGAACAAAGATAAACAAACATAATTGAATATATATGAACATAAATGAACATATATATAGTAATGTAATCAAACACAACTAAGCATATATGAACATAAAGGTACTTATGTGAACGAACATAAACGATCGTTCACGAACATAATCTAACGAATGAGACCATTGTTCATGTTCGTTCGTTTAACTAAGCGAAAGAGAATTCGTGTCCATGATCGTTCATTTATTAAATAAACAAACTTTCCGCCGTACTGTTCATGAAGCAGTTCGTTGAATGTTCAATTCCTTTACAACCCTAATTACTAGGGATTCTAATCAGTATAATAAACGGGCCTAATCCATCCATTAGAGAGTTAATGAAAAATTAACTTTCCTTTTTTATTTGTATTTGTATATGTTCGGAGTGATAACTCTCCTATTTGATTTGTATTTATATGTTTAGAGTGTTAGTTCTTGAAGGACCTCACCATTATTTTCTACCAGCTTCACCACCTCAATTTCTACTACAAACTCCTATTTTTGATGCTTAGTCAAGTAATTTTGGGTTTTTGTTAATGTTTCTGTAGGAACATGGGTACTTATCCAAGATCACAATCGGTTTCTGTTCAATGATTATCTGGCCTCAAATTGGTTTCTTGTATATATAACTTTGGAATTTTTTGATAATATATAATATATAACTACTTTTTTAATCATAAATTTACTTTCAAATTGATGTTGCTGATGTTGGTTAGCATTCTACGGGTCTAATGAAGGAGTGATACTTAGTGTTCCATTTATTCATGAATTTCACAATTTCTGTTTTCAAATAGGTTTAGGTGAAAATTCGCCATCCAATTATCCCACGTGTACACATTTGGTCGCTCTATATATGATAAAAAAAATCAATAATAGTTTGTTGTCATTTCTTGCACTTAACCCCATTATTCTATCATGACATGTTTGATTTTGCAAAATAATTTAATAAGATATGCTATAAAAAACTATATATTTCTATCATGACATCTTTTGGAGGGTAAGGTTCGCCGTGTTTGGAATCTGCATATGTAAATAATCCTAGTTAAAAACCATATATTTCTGTTTTTCAACTCATGTGTCTTACAATTATTATTGTTGTTAATTCTACAAATTAGGGAATAACTGGAGGCCTAAACTTTGTGGATCGTACATGTGTCATGTTTTACATAATCATGTAAACATTTCTCCCCGTTGCTATCTGATTCTATACCATAATGATAATTTTATATCTTCTTTAGGACTTTTTATTAATATTTTTTAATAGTAGCTACTATATGTTTATAGTGTTTTGTTTTCATATTTGTAAATTATTGATCAGTGAGTAGACGAAATAAGAGCTTAAGGTGGAACGTGAAAAAATTGAGGCCAAAAGACAAGAATTCGCCAAGATGCATACCGAAATCTTAAAGATTATCCAAGGAAATAACTTACCCGTCTAATTAGAATTTGACACTTTTGACTTTTATGATTTGGTTTTGATACTTGAAATTGTTTGTTAGTTGAATATTAATATTTATTTGGTAGTCGTAAATAATGATTTGGTTATTGAATTTCATTTTTGAATTTCGGTTAGAGAAACATATTCAACGGATTAGATTGTCTCTAGTTTACACATAATAACGGCGGATTAACGACGAAATTTACTAGTTGCATGAGCTAATCACCGACGGATTAACTACGGAAATTAGCGATGGATTAACGACGGAATCCAAACGTTCTCAAAGATTCCCTGAGTAATTTGTGTAGTCGTTACTCCGTCACTAAATCTGTCGCTCACAATTAGCAATAAGAGTTTTTTCGACTGACAATCCGTTCGCAATCGTGGCTGATACATGTATTTCTAAGTGTATATACAAATTTGGTAAACATGGAATATAAAAATACAAAATACAAAACCATAAAAATATAATATAGTCTATAAGGTAAGGGGTCGTGTTGTATGTTTTAAGGACCATTTGTGTAAATTTCTTATTAATTCTATGAGTTGTGTGACCTATGAGCCCTATTATATTAAATACATTTGCATAAATGTAAGTGTAAATAGAATGCATCAACTTTTGAACCACATATTTCTTCTTTGATGCACTAGTACATATGGACTGTTTTATGTCACATAAGCATAAGCATTCTACTATGAGTATTGAATTTATGAAGCGGTTCATCCGTTCATGGTTCCTATGCACCTTTGAGAAAATGGCATAGTGGGTGCTCATAGTTAATTTAAATTTCCCTAAAATATGACATGATGGAAAAAAAAAAACTCGGAGAAATTAAGTGAAACATACCTCTTCTACCGACACACCAGCATTCATAAGGCAGCTTTGTATGCAATACGAAAGACCAAGCCCATCAGATCGTGGATTAGTTACATGATAAGCATCACAATTTACTGCACCTCCCAAGTATTCAGCAAGTATTGGTGCATCCCTTTTCATTGCATGTTCTAAACTCTCCATCACCTACAGAAAAGAAACATAAATATATACAAAATCAGATTGATATTCAAGTAGAAACAGCTAGAAAAAAAGTTTTCACAAGAAAGATGAATTGTGATCTGCTTTTCTCTATCATCATTATGATTGTGGTTTTAATAGGATTTTGTAGATAGTGAAGTCCAACATGGGTGGTAAGTTTACCAAAACACCAGCACCTTCACCCATGACGATTCCCATCTCTATCCTTATCCCATGGTCTAGAAGCAGTCTGGGGATCATTATTTCTCTTTGACAGTGCATTACATGCAGCAAAACCTCCAAATCCAACAGGAATACATGAAGCTTCGACGCCACCAGCTATCATCAAATCAGCGTCACCTTCACGGATATGATTAGCAGCCGCATAGATGCAAAAATTAGATGTCGCACATGCAGCTGAAATGGAGTAGCTTGGTCCCATACATCCAAGATCAATTGCAAGTAACGCTGAACCCATGTTTGTTATGTAATAAGGTGTAAATGAAGGTGATATTTTTTCATAACCTCCCTCTATTAGAGACTCTACAGCGTCAGAAAATACCCTAACACCTCCCATTCCTGATCCAATAAGCACGCCAGCACGCTCCTTATCAATCTGCACATGTCAGAAAATATCGTAAATTAACCATTGGACTTTATATTTGAAGACATGAAATATTGGATGAATGAAGAACCTTTGAGCGTTCATTGACTCCAAGAGCTGCATCTTCAAGAGCTTTTTTCCCTGCAACAATGCAATATCGTTGACAGTCATCAAGTCCAAGGTCAACTTTGCCATCAATGAGGTCATGTGTTTGGAATCCTCGAATCTGGCCACCAATACGTGTGGGGAGGTTGGAGGTATCGAATCGATCAATTAAACTGATTCCACTCTCTCCAGCTAATAGTCTATCATAGTATGTATCAACGTCGTTCCCAAACACAGAGACAAGACCCATACCCGTTATAACTACCCGTTTTTTCGGATCTTTTTCCCGTTTAGGAGCTGTTACAGAAGCATGGTTAGATAATAGATGGGTACGTATAGCAGTGGTTCGTGCTGGTAATTGTCAATAATGAAAAGAGATTGCTTTCTCGGTAGGCCAGCTAGGGATACCCACGGAGAAGGTGACGACAGGAAAAGAGCATGAGCTTCCATAACTGTATAGAGCTTGATGTATGATCAAGATTGTTAAATTGTTAAAATGATCAGAGAATTTTATATCAGGTTTCAAGAAGTTCGTTCAGAGTGTGGTAATTGGTATCGCTATGCGTGTTTGTCAGTTTGTGTATATATAAAAGAGAGAAAAAGTGAGGGAGAGAATCAACTTAAGATGAAAAATCATATATTTGTAACAGCATAAGATCATCCACTCGGGAATACGACCACTAAAAGTAGGGGCCCAAAACAAATTTCAAAACAAAACCTTTATTTAGTTTTAATTTATGAAATATCAAAAAGATTCTAAGATATACTTTGTAACCGTGTTTTAACAAGACTCATTCTAAAAGACAGAAGGAGTAAGTATAATAGGAAGTACTCGGTAATAGAAAAAAAGATTGTTGGCTAGTGATACAATTCTGTCATAGATTCTAATTGTGTATAAGGGCATCCACAATGCATTGAACCCAGATTTCAACGGATTGTCAGGTCATCTTACTACAATCAATATAACTCTATATTTTTTTCTCTGCAATGCATTGAACTCTACAGAGTTCAATAGAATGTTACAAAATGTAATTTATAATAAATATTTAACAATTAAAAGGTTTAATTTTTTCCATTGAAGAGTTCAATGGTTATTGAACTCCAAATTCATTGAATGCTAAAGAATTTCATCCATTGAATGATACATGGAATTGCCACCTCATTCAACTCTCCTATTGAACTCACTATTATGGATGCTCTAATATGCATGTTGAAGAACGTCATGCTCGTAATACTGATGTGGCATCTTTAAAAGTAATTCAAGATAAAATTTCTATAATAATCCACATACATCATATGAATTGATGGTATCCGTATTTTAAATTCAAATCCCACAATTTACTGCGATGAATTTGGTAAGGAGTGAAGCAAATTTGTAGCTGTACGGAATTTCGACAAATTATGAGCTGAGTTTTCAACTTATGGTTGCAGTTAGTGTTTTAATGATTGGGCTGAAATTATTGACAAAGTTATATAATACTTTTTTTCACGTTAATTATTTCTAATGCGGGTGACTATTGAGTGAAATTATCCAAATGTTTAATGAAATCCCGCCTTATTTATTAGGTTTTAAATTTAGATGCACCTAACAGATAAGTGTACGTTGTTTAATCAAGAATTACCATGAGAAAATCGCACACACAAAAAAAAAAAAACAAAAAAAGCATACATAGAAATGTATATATTAAAAAGTCAAATAAATTTTTTTAAATAAAACTAGTTTAATTAAAAACATGTTAAAAATAAAGTTGAAAAAAAATGAAACAATTTATAGAGAAGCTGAAACCAAATTTCTAAAAACAAAATTAACATATGGGCCGAATTTGTAACAAAGAAAAGTTGCTAACCTTAGCACATGCTATATAGTAGATCGTGTTAATCAATTGGAACAGCTTTTATAAATGATTAACTCTCATAATATTAAAGTCTGTAAGATTGCATTTGCTACGCTGAAAATAGTTGTTTAGCCAAAAATAATTTTAAAACCCTTTATTTATTATATGGTTCCTGTCGAATATAAAGTATTAATCCAAATGTTTATTTGATTTTTCATAACAAAATTATACTAATAAAGTACTTTAATTTAGTTTTTCGGTTCCTTTTATTTGAGAAGATGACTAACAATGGCTCACATCGATAAACACACACACAAACACATGATACCGTTGGGGCTAGAAGTTATTTGGTAATACCTATTCACTCCATTGATGAAAAGAAATGAGGTTAAATTTTGTTGGTGGATTTGTCGGATTTTGGCAACCTAAATGCTTGTATGGATCGCACTTGCGTTTTTTTTATTGAAGTGCTAACATACATCGTTTAAATCGTACTCATAAACTCTTATTTTGTACACAACTGAACTTGAACCATTAACCTCTTATGAAAATCACACATTTTCAACCACCCTATATGGTTAGGCCAAATGTCATTTTAGTTGCATTACTATGTTTATGGGCCCATATGAGCTCCATGTTCAATTGTAGAGATACGGGTAGACATAATGCAAAAGAGATCTAATTGATTTACATAGGTAAGTGTACATGGGGAAGAAGGGGTTTCTAACAAGAATTAAATAATACTAACCATTTGCAACCAATAAATAATATGATTATTATTTCTTCTAACAATTTCGATAATGTTTCTTTTAATCGAATGACGTTTTCTAAAAAGAATAAGTCAAACACGCTGTTAAATGCATTTGTTTTGACATCGATTAGGGTTTTTTGTAATAATTGGATTTTTGTAAACAACTTGTAAGAAGCTAAAGAACGACAAACATTTACAGAAGGCTAGTAAGTATTAAGTTTTGAAGGAAAGGAATCCAAACTACTTTATGCTACTATCCATAATGTGCGGGTTTGAATTATCTGTCATCTTTTTTGTCTATGTGTGTTAAGACCAAGATCGAGGATAACCTGGCCATTTGTCCTGGAACTGATCCAAAATGTGTCTCATTCAACTTTCTTTGTGTATAAAATTGGCCCAAATTTTAATATCAGACCCAAAATCGACCTTTTTCATTATTTTTAAAAAGGGAAACGACATATATGGATAACAAACTATATAAACTATTTTAAAAATATCATTAAACTAAATGAACATTGTCAAAAGGTAATGAACTATTGTATTTGTGTTTAAAACATCATTGGTTACGGGATTAAAAGGTCCTCCCGGTTTTGAAGCCATGTTGGCATGATAACATGTCTTAAATGTTGTGTATTGACCTAAGACTCATTCAACTTATTTAAGTGTTTAAAATATACCATTTTCCACCCCTTGTAAATCTCTTTTGTGCCCTAATTCTAGTCTCAACCACCACAAAAGTCACATAGCCCTCATAAACATAATATGATAAATAGATATAGAACAACACAAAATTTGTCCATATAGAACAAAACATTAAGTATATATATAAAAAAAAGTTTGGAGACCACAAGTATGTATAGCAGTTTCCTTAGGTTTTATATTGAACAAAACAAAAAATAGACGTTACACTACAAAAAAAAACATGGGACTAGACAAAAAAATATCCCTAGTGGAAAGAAAAAGTATGTAGGCGACGACACATTCAATCCAAATTAACTGGATGTGACATCCCCATTTTCACGGCCCGAAAAGACCGATTTTGTTTATACTTTATAAAAATCAGAGTACTTCTTTTAATAAAAATGTTGTGGAATTAGTTCCCAGTAAAACATGATAAATACATTATCAAAGCATTTCCGAAGAAATGTATTTTTATTCATTTTAAAACATTTGGGATGTCATCGTCAATACAGAAACATAAGCATAAACAGAACTTACATTCATTTACACTAGTGATCTACATCTCTTTTAAATCTCTCAGTGTAAAGTAGCTTCATATTGACACCTATGATACAAATAAGCTTGAGTGGGTCAGGTTGGGAAACCTGATGAGTACATAGGGTTTTCAACCCACAATAATATAATTATTATGTTTAAACATCAAACAATCAACCCAATTACCCATCCACATTATCTTATTTACTCTTAAGGATCTACCATAAGAATCAGCTATTCATCGTTCATTCATTCCTAAGGATTATCCTAAGAATCGGCACGAAGTCCATCGATGCCATGGTTTACTCAATAGGCACTAAGTCTCATAGTCGCCAGGGTTATTCTCTTTTATCGACCGTATCGATTCCGATACTCCTCTGACAACACATGTCAAGGGGTTTAGGCACTACGTTGCATAGTCGCCAGGGGGTTAATCTCGTCTATCGACAATGTCGTTTTCGAGACTCCTCTCACAACACATGTCAATGGTTTTTAGAGTACAGCTGGTGAGCACACAGTTCAAAAAACCCTACAGGTTGCGAGCCTGCTAGTGTCCACTGGACTGTCTAGAATAGTCTGTGGTTGTCATCCATACTCTGGAATGACGAGGCCAACACATGGGTAAAAGGCTTCTCTCATGGTTTACCTCTCACCCTTATCTCATGGTCTATATCACCTCTCATCATCTTGTTTTTGTTAAACAGCAACTATTTCATCTACCCATGTTTTACCCAACATATTTTGTAGATATAAAATAGCATGTAATTTATAAAATATTTTCATCTATGTGTAAGATGAATGGGGGACTATGCCACTTGATAAGGTGGTGACTCGGTACTCGGACAGCGCTTCGTTTACTTTAAAATATTTCCTTCGACGAAACCTAGTATTATTACCACTAGATTTTAGTATAATTTACCATTACTAATTATTAGTCTTCTTATTATTATTATTATTATTATTATTATTATTATTATTATTATTATTATAATCCGTTTAAACAATATTTTCCAACCACTATGTGTAGACATGGGCCAAACATAAAACCCCGGGGTAGGATTATTTTAGGGCATATAACACTTTTGAAATCCAACAAACTCGTGGCCCTTCAAACCGGATTCCCGTACGGCGAGTGGTAAAAAGATATTATACGACACTTATATAACCCATAATAATAGCTCAAATAATTTTATAAGGTCCTAATAACGTTACTATATTTAAATAAAAGCTATATTAAAAATTAGGTAGGCATATCTTACCTACGAGGGGTTTGGCTAGAAGCCGCGCTCTGCAGGGGCAGAACTTCCGAGCGAAAAGCTTTCTTCTCGGAGCCGTCGCGCGTCGGGGCTTTCTTCTAGCGCTAGGGGAGTTTGGAGGTTTAGAGAGAGGAGAGAGAGAGTAGAGAGAGAAGGGTGGAGGTGTGAAGAAATGAGGGTGAAATGAGTTGTA